CCTGCGTCTCGACCCTGCGGTGGCCGCCCGCCGTCGCATCGCCTCCAAGGTCGTCGGCGAGGGCCCAGTCGGCGTGCTGCTGCAGTGCTCTCTTCAGACTCACCGAGGAGGCCAGTGCCTTGGTCTTTCTCCAGTTAATGGGGAGACGCTTGTCGCCCAGCATGGTGGCCACGCCCTTCGCGAACCTGGCGATCTGCTCGACGACCAGCCTGCGCGTGCCGATGCCGTGGCCCGAGATGTCGTCGATCACGTTGACCACCCTTCCAATCGGCAGCATCTTCCTCGACTTCAGCAGGAGGTCGTACAGCATGATCCTCGCCATCGTCGTCGCGCAGGAGCATCCAGCGATGACGGTGTCGTCGATGACCAACTGCTCGCTGAGGGCTAGGTCGGCCCTGGCCCTGCGGGGGCCCGAGTACAGCGCGCACAGCGCCTGGATCAACCCCGCGTTGAAGTCGCAGCCCCTCGCCGCGTCGAGGAGCAGCCCGTGGCTGATCTGCTCGTAGAACTTGCTGATGTCGAAGTAGACCGACGCAGCCTCGAAGTTCTTCTCGCGCGCCAGGCCGAGCAGTAGGTTGTGAATGTAGGCCGCCCTGTCGCAGCTGGTGTCAGTGTCAGCCCCCCAGTACTCGGGGAGCTTGTGGTCCCGCTCCCAGCCCGCGCAGTATTTGCGCCTGATGCGGCTCCAAATGCGCAGCCAACTGCAGAGGAGCCCGATCGGGCGGCGGCCCCCGTCGGGCTTCCCCAAGAAGACGATGATCGTGGTCAACAGCTCCGACGGCTTGGGGTGCCGTTCCCAGGCTGTCAAGATCGCTGCCAGCCTGGCCGCGCACTCGCTGCCCAAGCTGAGGATGAGCCTGGGGCGAAAGGCGTCCCATCCCAGCGCCGTCTTCCTGGGAAAAGTCCTCGCTGCTGCCAACACATCCTCCGCCGTGATGGCGTCCAGACCCATGGGCTCGTCCCAGTTCTCGGGGCGGACGCTGGCGGAGCCCTCTTTGTGCCAGAGCGCCGTCCACTCCTCAAGGATCCTGTCCAGGGCCTGCTGCCCGACCAGCGGGGCCCCCCCCTCGCCGGGGCCGAGGATGGAGCAGGTCTCGAGGTTGGCCTGCTTGCTGATCGCGTGGGCGCCCTTGCCGTTCCCGCTGAGGGCCTCTGTCATGAAGTCCTTCCAGCGCTGCCTGGCTAGCTTCGCGCCCTCCCTGCGCTTGACCTCCGAGGCGGCGCCGATGGCCTGGAGGAAGATGCTGCCCAGCTGCGACCTGTCCGAGATCTCCGCCAGCATCGCCGCCATCTTGGTGCCGCCGAACATCTCGCAGCCTTCTGCCTCGAACTCGGGGGCCAAGTCTAGGGCGGCCGCCTGCAAACGCTTGACGTGCATGTGGTGCCTAGGCGAGGGGTGGGGCACCGCCGCCGCGAATGCCAGCTGAGTGGCCAGGCGCCCCAAGGTAATCCAGCAGCGCGTTAGCGGGCTGGTCCTGCGCACCTCCTCCGAGCGCAGGAGGTGAATGAGCTGCTTGGGCACCCTCTTGAGCCCCTGCGCCCTGCCTCGGTACTTGGCGCCGTCCTTGATGCCGAAGAGGTGTATCAGGCGATCCTCAGCCTGGTCGAAAAACTCCTTGATCGCCTCGTTTGGGCTCCCGCTCTCGTCCAGGAGCGGCGCCTTCCAGTCCGTCAGGGAGTCCTCTTCCTCTGGTTCTGGCTGGATCCCCTCCTGCTTAGCCCCTGGCAGCTCGAACGGCTTGGGACCCTTCTGCACCCAGACACCTGCCTGGCTGCACAGCTTCACGAAGGTGAGCCTGACGGGGGCGTGCGGGTGCGTAGTCGCCTGCCTGAGCACCGTCACCTTCGGCCCTAGCCCTGCCAGGACGTCCGAAATCACGAAGAAGTCGTGCGTGCTCTCGCCGCAGGTCGGCTCATCGGGCGCTACTATCACCGCCCCCACCGCGCGTGGCCACCACGAGCTGCTGAGGAGGCTGGGCTCCAAGTTCCAGTTCCCCCCCCCCCCCCCACACACACACACACACACACACACACACACACACACACACACACACACACACACACCACACACACACACACACACACACACACACACACACACACACACACACACACACACACACACACCCACACACACACACACACACACACACACACACACACACACACACACGCACAACGAAGGGCTCACGCAAACCTAGGAGGAAACCCTGCAGCTCGCTCAAGAGGTCCACGTTGGCCTCATTGAGCTTGACCGAGCACTGCAGGCACAGGCTGACGCACACCACGACCAGGTCCCCGAAGGCGACGCGCCTCGCCACGATCCTGGAGGCGCGCTGGCCCCAGGCCTGGTCGATCCAGGCCACTCCGCAGTGCTCTCCGACTAGCGCGGCGACCCCGAGGAGACGGCTTGAGCTGCCGTCCCTGTGCTGCGGCACTCTCCGAAGGCCGCGTTGATGCCGTTCCTCTTGCACCAGGCTCGGGCAGAGCCCTCAGCTAGCGCCGAAGTGAACCGTGTCTCCTGGCTGAGGTACACGTCGTCCCTGGCCTTCGCGTCCAGCAGCAGCTCGAGGGCCGTCTGGGACTCCGCCCACGTGGAGCCGTTGATGCTGAGGATGCTGGCGCCCTGCTGCGCCGAAGGCCGAACCAACTTGGCCAGCTGGAGCACCGCGGCCGCGGCGGGCGCCGCCGCACCTGCCGCCTTAGCCCGTGGCTGGGGGCGGCGCGTCGCCTCGCAGACGAGGTCTGAGGGGGGTCTCACGCCCGAGTCTGTCGCCACTCCATCCTGAAATAGCAACCCACTATTGCATATGGGCCCTCGGCTAGACTGCGGACTGCCAGCCCCTTGGCCACGCTGCTCCTCCAGGCACCCATTGGACCTGGGCTCAAAGGCGCCGCGGCCGCTCGCCTGCAGCCCAGAGCGCGTCCAGGGCGTCGCGCAGCTTGCGCTTGGCCTCCTCTCGCTGCTCGGGGGCCGCTTCTCGGAGGGCTGCTGAGGCTGCGGCGTACTCCTCGCGCTTCGCCTCCCAGCCTTTTCCTCCCAGCAGTTCCATGTCGATGTCGTCTGATTCTGGCACTGGTTTGTGCTCGCCGCCTGCGTCTGCCGCCCCAGCAGCAGCACCAGGAGGAGCAGCAGCGTCCCTGGCAGCGGCCGCTGCCTTCTTGCTGTCGCTGGCTGCGGTCTGCAAGCGGGCAAGGACCGCGAGGGCGTCCTTGGCCTCCTGGCTGGCGGCGACGTCCTCGTCCAATCCCGCTGCGACTGCCTGGATCGGGTCGGGGAACTCGCTGGCCTGGAGCTTGACCAGCTTGGCCTCCCCCTCGGTGAGCTTCTGGTTCTCTTCGTCGATCGCGACCTTGAGCTCCTGGAGCTCCCTGTCGAGCGCGGCCTGCTGCTCCAATATGGCGGCCTCGCGGGTCTCGAACTTCTTGATCTTGTCACGCATGGCCTTGACCCGCCAGCGCTGAGTCTGAGCAGTTGGCTGCTTGCTCTCGAGCGTCTTCGACTCCGCCGCCTTCTCTGCCGCCTCCACCGCGCTGGTGTCGAGCCCCTCCTTCGCCAAGAAGGTGACCACGCCCTTGTAGGAGATGCCAAAACTCTCCACGGCAGCCTTCCTGGGCGGGGGCTTGCGCTCCTTCCAGGGCTTCGACGGCGGCGGGGCCTCGCCGTTGAGCTCTGCCACCTGCTTCTGCAACTTCTGCAGCTGCTCCAGTAGCTGACCCTGTCCTGGCGGGCCCTGCGACCAGGCCCCGCGCGGGCGAGACGTGCTGGGTGCTGGCCCTTCGGCTGCTGCTGCCGAGCGCTTGGCTGCCTGCACCACCTTGGTGGAAGCCGCCTTCCAGCACTGGCGGCAGCGAATCCTGGACGCCCAGTTCCCATCACAGCCGCAGGAACAGGACCAGAGAGGTGTCCGCTTCGCGCCTGGGATGATGCCAGCAGGGTCCAATTGTGACGGCGCCATGGCCCGCGGGCAGCCGCGGGGGGAGCCGTCGTCGTGAAAGTTGGCTCGTGCCCACTACGCCGCTTCGAAGTAAGTGGGCACAAACGCGAGCTGTCGCCAGCTCAGGTAGACCAGCTCGCGCCGAAACGGCTACGGAGACGGCATTGGATAAGGAAACCTTCGATAAGGAATCCAGGCTCTGGAAGCCAGAGGAAAGCCAATCGTGGATTGGCCATGGATTCCGGCGCCACCCTCATCAGATAAGGAACCCTCCAGGGTCTGAAGCCTCCTGGGCACGTTCCTTAACGAACGCCCCGACCGTAGGAGGTCGGCGAGTGAAAACGTGAATTCCTGGGCATTCCTGCACATTCCTAGGTGTGTGCAGGGCAACAAACCACCGACGTCGGCGCTGCTCGCAAAGAGGCGGGAGCGCAGAACACGAAGGCGTGTGGGGCTCTTGTGGGGCCCCAGCTCTTGATGGGTTTGTTCTCCATGGTCCACCACCACCACCATAAATTGGAGGGAGAGGGGGTCCTCCTCCTCCTCCTCCTCCTCTTCCTCCTCCTCCTCCTCCTCTTCGTCCTCCTCCTCGTCCTCCTCCAAGTTCTGGTGGTGGTGGAAAACAAGCCCATCAACTCTGGCCGAAATCGGCGCGTCCCCCCAAAACGCCGACGGAAACATCCCCGATTAGATTCCCATCGACCAGGATGATGTGCATGCACGCCCAGGGCGTCGTGGAGTTGGGCGGGACGGAAGGTGACATGGGCGTGGGAGGTGCGGACTGCACCGCAACAATCAGGCGGCGGTGAGTGCCACTAACGCGCGGGCTCTGCGTATCGCCATGGCGATGCCCCGCGGCATGCAGAACAGAGGAGCGCAAAGCCAGCCATGATGACAACACGAGGTGGAGGAGGAGGAGAAGGAGGAAGAGGAGAAGGAGGAGGATCAAGAAGAGGAGGAGAGGGGGGACGTGAACCGTGCTGTTGCTACTGCTTTGGCTTGAAAGATCCTCCTGCCCCCTCCCCCCTCGGACGAGCCCCCGGCGCTGGGAACGGCTGTTCTTCAGCCAGCAGCGAAACAAGGCACCGCGCAAAATGGGTTCGCAGATTGGTCCACCCCCTCCCGTCACGCCACGCCGTCCTGCTTCCTGCCGCGCCGCCCCGCCCCTTCTACTCTCACGACCCTCCCCTCCCCTCCTTCCCTCCCTCGCCCCTCTCTTGCAGGCAATATGTATATCCGTATCCAGCGCGCCTTGGCCTTTCTTGGAAAAGCCGCCGCGAGGCCGAGGCGCACTGGATCTGGATAAAAATCGAGCGCCTAGGCTCTAGAGGGCAGATTTATCCATTTCCAGTGCGCCTCGGGTTTCTGGGGAAGAGAGCCCGACCCTTCAAGATGCAGTGAATATGGACACAAGCCGTTCCCGCATCTCTCCCTCCAAGGCTTAAGGCTAAGAAAGAACAGCACAACCATTAACTGTCAGAGGTCCGTGAGGAATTCTTTGATCTGCACTGGACCCCCCTCCCTGGCGCGCGTAGTTCACCACGGGAGGCGTGGGAGGCGCCGCCAGGATGGGGGGGAGAGGTCCCAAACATCCGCGTGGAGCTCCGACAATAAACGTTTACGCACTACTTTCCTGATGGAGCTCACTCCCGGCTATGACAGCAAATGAGGGACGAATGACATCGATGTTTCAAACGAAACGGCGCTGAAAAGGAAAAACGATACAAAGCCCAACCTTGAAAACGAACGTACTGAACGATGTCGGTGCCAGACGAGACGAAAAGACGAAACAACGCGGAACGACACCACAACGAGCCACGAGCAACGAAAAATATAACAAAGGCCAAAATCAAGCTGGACAACGTTGTGCTCGGTTGTGCTAGCCTTGTCTTCTTCGAGCTCCCTTGGGCTCCGGGGGGGCCTTTCCTGGGCGCCCCCGGGGCCCTTGAAGAACGATTACGCGACGCCCAATAGATCGGGGATCTCTGAGATCTGGCGGTTCTGGAAGATGCTTTGGGCGCCGCGGCCTTGTTAGAGCGCCCCAGAACGATCTGAGAGCGCTCTGGAGCACTCTAAAAACGTTCTGGGACGCTCTGGACCTGATTTATCCTCGCCCGAGCCCCGTCCGACGGTGCCCGCTTCCTCCGGGACCGGCGCCCCTCATGGTAACGGAGGTGCGATCGCTCGCCACCGCCCAGGAGCACGTCATCGGCGACAAGTCCAGCGAAGAGGCTATCGGCGAGGAGTTCGCGTAAGGCGACCATCTTCGACTGAAGGCAGAAGATACTTGTGAAGGCAGATGCTTGTTGTGCTCACTGCAGGCCGGGGCCTCTGCAGAACGGCTCGAGACGCAGGTCGCGGCGCTCAGCGAGGAGATCAAGGCGGCGCGGGCATCGAAGGTTCAGCCAGAGGCATCTGGCAGCCAGGCTGCGAGGGGCCGTGTGACACGGGCGAGCCCTGCTGAAATGCCGCGTCGGAGTTGCCAGAGGCATCTGGCAGCCAAGCTGCTGGCAGCCTGTCTCCAGGCGGCCGCTTGGTGCCGGTGGAATGAAGCTCTATCAAGCTGGCATCGCCCGAACAGGGCCCCAAGAGATTCCAAACGGGTCTAGACCCCCCCCCTCCGGCGAGATAACAGAGGGTCCTTTTTGGCCCCAGGTGGCTTCTCACCTGGTTTCTGGTGTGCGATGGGCTCGTGGGGATACGCAAAGCGTCAAGAATTGATGACCCCCTAAGCAATAAGTTCTAGAAACTTGCGTTTGAATCGTGCTACTGTGTCAGGGCCATGCGTGAAAAGTCTGTTGGCCAGCAGGGCTCCATCGTTGTCAAATATAAACTGAGATAGCCCCCGAGATGTTAGAATATGGTCCACCTGTGCCTAATATGGCTCGCAATCTGCCTCCAAGCCGCCCAAGCCTCCCCTAAGACAGCCCCACATGGCTTCGGAACGTTCCAAGGACGCCCCCGACAAGCCAAGGTCAATGCATACCCTAAGATGTTTCAATCGTTTTGGCATTATCACCGTTTCACGTCCGATGGGCCTCTGATGCCTCGAGGTGGCTCCACGATCGCCCAATGGAACCTCCAAGCGGAGCCATGCAAAACTCCAAGACAGCCCCAGAATCTGCGACCAAGGGAGGCCTAACTGACGCCGCTTCTTGCTGGATGGCGTCCGGGATGACCCCCAAAAGACCCCGAGGACTGCACACTGGTGATGTTCACGGCCAGCCAGCTCAATACAGCGAGGGCGTTAGCGGGTTGTGTTAAGCAGATTATGCATGACTGGACACACACACATATATATATATATATATATATATACACGCATATACATACATACGTACAAATATACACGTAATGCGAAGCTCAACAGCACGACGCATCTGTCGCGGATGCAATCCGAAGAAAAATCAAGACCACCGTTCACGTGGCAACGACAACGCGTCACGCGAGCGCGAAGGGCCCGCGAAAATCAATCACTGCAGGATGACCACGCGGCACGCCTGTGGTGTAATCAGCGTGGCGCAGTCCACGTGGTGCAATCGCGTGGTGCAAGTCGCCTTGCCGAACCTGAGCTGTCAACCCCATTGCTCGCGCAATCATCCCACCCACCCACCCGCAACTTGATTTACAAATCACGTGCGGCGGCGATTGCGATGACTGATTGGCGCTGGATGGCGCGTCGCCGCAAAAGCACCAGCGCGCGCAGGGTCTAGCGCAGAACGGCTAGCTAAGATGGCGCGGCCGACGCGGCCGCGGTGGCGCTGACCGCTGGAAACTTCCAAGCACGTCTCACAAGCCACACTGGCGCGCAGGCGCCTCACTGTGAGTCGGTGACCCGGGCGGGCGCGGTATCATTGCGCCGCCGACAACCGCAGGCACGATGATGATTGCAGCGAAGCTGGTAACGACGATGGCGATGACGACGGCAAGGCCCATGACGGCGCCGATGCTGATCACGCCAACGGCGATGATGGTGTCCACGCGTCGCTGGCGACGGTTTTGTGAATTTCCACATGCGCGCGCGGCCGACGGGCACGGGTGGCCCGCATGGTATTATGGGACAAGGATCGCACCTCCCCCCCAGCACGCGCGCAAATCCGTTCGAACGGTTCCGACATGCGCCCGCGAAAAACCGTCTTGGCCGCATGTGACCAACGTTTTCGCCAGAGTTCTAATATTGAAAGCCTTCCGGGGTTTCCAACTGTATATGGATTTCGGCATGCACGCGACGTCGCGCGCGAGCGAACTTGGCCGCGCGCGTGCGCGCACATGTTTGGTAAACGCGCGTGCGCGAACCTTTTTTGGGGGGTATTTATATTGGCAAGGGATGAACTGCGGACTCGGTAACTGTCTGGCCGGGGTGGTACGACTTCAATGTAAACATGGAGGCGGGGCAACATCTTATGACATTGCAAATCTCGAAAAAGAACGGACAACCCTGGCCTCTGCGGGTGGTAAACCCAATGTGTTTTGTATAAGAACGGGACAACATGTGCGGTGCAATAATAAACGGTTGTCGACATAATTTGTCAACTACATGGCTTGCGCACACACCCCGCCCACCCACCCGCAACCTGGTTTGCAAAACCGACGAGGCGGAAATTGTGACGCCTGCTTGGCGCCGGCTGGCGCATCGCTGCGGCCGTGCCAGCGCACGCAGGGTCGCACGCAGAGCGGCTAACTAAGATGGCGTGGCCGACGCGGCCGCGGTGGCGCAGAACGCAGAACGCGTCTCGCAGGCCGCGCTGACGCGCCGGCACTTCAGTGTGAGTCGGTGACCTGGGCGGGCGCGGTATCATTTCGACGCCGACAACCGCAGACACGATGATGATTGCAGCGAAGCTGGTAACGACGATGACGATGACGACGGCAAAACACATGACGGCGCCGATGCTGATCACGCCGATGACGATGATGGTGTCCACGCGCCGTGAAAGGTTTGGAGAGATTTCGTCATGCGCGTTCGCCCGAATGGCGCGGGCGTGCCGCATGGTTTTCTGTGACAGGACGCGCGCCGCGCCTCCACCCCCCAGCACGCGCGCAAATGCGTTCGAACGGTTCCGGCATGCGCGCGCGAGAAGCCCGCTTGGCCGCGCGCGATAAACATGTTGAGAACCACACGGTTGTTTTAACAATTTGCACTCGCGCCTTTGCGTACATGATTTGAGCAATCGCGTTGCAACATTAAATGGTGTGGTACGTTTCCGTGCCACTCGATGCTGTACCCCTTGTCAAAACCCATGGGTTGTGAATGTTTCGGTATGCGCACGCGACGTTGCGCGCGTGCGCTCTCCGTCATACCTTTGGAACGGAGTTTCGGGAACTACCGTTTTGAAATACACGACTACGCGCGCACAGAATACTTTGACAGGGATGATCGGGCGACTCGATACCGGGCCTGCTTGGAATGGCACCGCCCCATAATTGGAATAGACGATGGCGCAGAATCATAAGTGAATTGCACATCCCCCACGTGAGCGGATAATCCCGCCCCTGGGGGCGGCGGTACATCCGAATTTATTCCTCACTACGGGACTGGACTGTACGCGCGGCAATTCCCCCTGCCGAACTTGAAATGGTCAACTCCACTGCTCGCGCAATCAAAACACCCACCAACCCTCAACTTGGTTTGCAAAACCCACGGGGCGGCGATGGCGCTGGCTGCTTGGCGCTGGCTGGCGCATCGCTGCGGCTGCGCTAGCGCACGCAAGCCAGAGCGCAAAACGGCCACCGAGTGTGGCGCGACCGACGCGGCCGCGGTGGCGCTGAACGCTGAAAACTTCCCAGCGCGTCTGGCAGGCCGCGCTGACGCGCGGGCACTCCAGTGCGAGTCGGTGACTCGGGCGGGCGCGGATATGTACTCTATGTTTTCGTGGCGCTCAATCTTGAAATCATTACGGGACCAAGAGTGTTTGATGCATGTCGGCATGCGCGCAAAACGACGCGCGCCAGCGGACGTTGTGTCCCATGTCCTGCAAGATAATATGAGGAACTGCTGCATACTGGTAAACGAATGCGCGTGCATAGTTTCGTTTGACGACGATGATTGGATGAAACTCGGTTTGGCTTGGATGATGACAATTCATATTGCCATGAACGATGGGGCAGAATCATATTCAAATTGCACATCCCCAGGGTGGACCGATTACCCCTGGAGGGGGTAGATCCGAATTCTCAGTTGGAAAAGGAAAATCATGGGAGGCGGCGACGGGGCGGGGACCGCGAGCACTTAGCCGCCAGACCGACAGTCAGGCCCAGACGACGGGCGGCGACGAGGCAGCGACGGGGCGGCGATGGCGAGCACGGAGCCGCAAGACCGACAGTCAGGCCCAGACGACAGGCCGCGACGAGGCGGCGACCGGGCAACGACAGCGAGCACGAAGCTGCCAGACCAACATTCAGGACAAAGTCCCTTGGAAGAACAATGAGATACCCTAAGTCTTGGGGAATACACGTCCCCCATGGGCATCATTTCTGGATAGGCTGGTGGAGACGAGGCGGGCCCCCTGCGGCCCTGGGCCATGTTGGCAGATCTGGAGGATTTGGCCTGCCAGCTGATTAGCTAACTGATCTTGAGGGGAGGCGGGGTTCATGCCTCTTTCGCCTCGACGATGCCCCCAAGATGACCCAGCCCGGCCTGACAATGGCATCAACACGGCGCCGGATGGCCAAAAGACAACGCACGACGGCCTCAAGGCAGTCAAAGCTGGCCTCAACACATCAAGACGGCTATAGATGATCAGAAGGCAGCCCAGGATGGCTCTAAGACGGCGCCCCAGGGGGCCTCAACAACCAAATTATGTAACGACCGAAACACATATGTTAGCGACTGTGGACACCCAACAATGATTTCTTGCAACCGATGCGGTGCAATTTAGGTGGTGCAATCTAGAAGTTCCAATCCATGTGTGCCACTCGATGCGGCGCAAACCAATGCAACGCGATGCAATGCAAAACAACGCAAAGCAATGCAAAGCAGGAAGAATCAGTGCAAAGCAATGCCAAGCACTGCGAAGCAATGCAACGCAAAGCAACGCAAAACAACGCAAACCAATGCAAAGTAACGTAAATCAGTGCAAACCAGTACAAACCAAGACAAGGAAAGCGATCCGAATCAACGGAATGCAGTGCAAAGTAACGCAAACCATTGCGAAACAGCGCAGGCCCAGACAGCGACGGGGCGGCAACGGCAATCACATAGCGGCCAGACCGACGGGCAGGCCCAAAGCGACGGGGCAGCGACGGCGACCACATAGCCGCCAGGCCGACGGGCAGGACCAAACGACCGGCGGCGACGAGGCAGCATAGGAGCGGCGACAGCAACAACATAGCTGCCATGTCGACGGGCATGCCTGGTCCCTTAGAGAAGGAGTCATAATCCCTAAGTGCAAGCAATGTAGGGGGTACATGGTTTTGCAAATGTTGGCCGCTCGGCCCCAGACAGCCTACGCCTCCCCCCATCACAGGGGCCAAAGAGGCCCCAATGACTGCCCGCGCAGGAGCCCAGAAAGGGTTCCAGGAGGCGGCCAGAAACTCCAGGAGGCAGCAAGAGGGCCCAGGAGGGCTCAAGAAACCCCAAAGACGCCCCAAAGGTGCTCCCAACAGGAGCCCCCCCGGACCCCAAGAATACGACACTGACAGGCAAAATTACCGAAGAAGGTCCGACCGTCGCTCCAGCTCTGCGTGCTCAATACGCGTGGCGGCAAGAATCCCAAATCTGCTTAGGGGCCGCTTCGAACACGCTAACCCGACGCAGATCCGAGGCTGCTCCGCGAACGCGGACACCGTCTCACGAGTCGCAATCCAGCGCTTGTCGGGTGAAGACCCTGGCGGGCTAAACAAATCACCACACCTGAACGCCGAGCGCTTGTCAATGCGAAGCCCCGAAGACACTGGCGGGCAGAACTGTGTGGCCCAGGCGAGCAATACCAAAGCGCTCTCAACACCTGTATACGACAGGTTCGTGTCATGACGACCCCAGCGTTGGTTTCTGACACTGCGTGGATCGTTCAACCTTTGACGATCGGCAGCCTTTCGATAGCCAGATCGGTCCGTACTGGGCGACTCTTGGCCACTGGCGGCATTCAGCACTACACGCGCGCGGCGGGGACGCCGCTGCGTCGACACGGCTGCTAACCTGCCGTAGGCTGATGGCCTCATCGAGGCGGCGCGTCCCAGATATGGAAAAGCGCGCTCCACGACTCGCAGCGTCACTACTCGCAAATGGCCTGGATCCGCCGCGGGGGATCTACGATAAATCACATCGAAGCAGGCGTGTGTTTTTTGTTCTCGGACGGTTGCGAGTAGGCACTTTGCGACTAGTGGAACGCGCTCGGTGAAGATGGTTCTTGTTCGACCTGGAGCGGGGCAGGCCACTGTTTCCTCGCTTCTCCGCACGGCGCGGTGGGCACCACTCGGGTCGGGCGAAAGGGGGGGATAGCAAAGGAGGCGTTTGAGAATCAGCTCACGCAGCTGATTTTCCCGGCGCCTCCCGGCGCCAGAGGCGGCTCTGTGTATCGAGGAAGGGGCCCCTCGGTGAGGCCGAAACCAGCTGCATGCAGCAAATTTCGTAACACCCCCTTTCCCAATCCCCCCCCTTTCGTCCCGCCCGAACACCCGGGAACGGCAGACCGCCCGGCGAACTGGGCACGCCACGCGCGCCAGCCTGCCGTCAGCGAGCTCAGGGGACGCAGCGGGGCCCAGAGGACGCTTCGGGGCGCGCTGCGCGTGCACCTCCCAGGGGCCAAAACCGCCAGCCACGCTCACCGCGTCGCGGCCGGCAAGGAGGAGGGAAGAAGGGAAGCACCGTGCCCAGGACGAGCAGGCACAACAATCAAGCTGCACGCCCATCTCAGCTGTGTCCTGCCGCGACCTCCTCAGGCGACGTCCTCGGGGGAACAAGCATGACATGAGCACAAACATTTGGAGGTCCGCGCTGATTCCTCGGATCGGCGCGTGGCACCCCTCCCTGGCGCCCGGAGCTGACGCCCAGAGGCGGCGCCTGAGGCGCCGCCTGAGGCGCCGCCAGGGGGGCACAGCGCCGATCCAAGACGTCGGCGCGGAGTTCTCAAAAGTTATGATGATGCCGCTCTTCATCCTCGAAGCCTGGCCCGGCGTCGCGTCCCCCGCGCTCGCCTCCCCGGCCAGGAACTCGGCGTAGGCCAGCACGCTCGATGGGTCGCTGGGCAAATCGTGACCTCCTGGGTGCTCCAGCACGCACCCCCCCAGCGCCTCTCGGCGGTGCGCAAAAGTCGGTTGTGGACGAAAAGGGGGATCAGTCAAGGGGGGGCTGGCGAATCAGCTCACGTGGTTGGCTTTCCCTGCGCCTCCTGGTGCCAGAGGCGCGAATCGACGGAGGAACGCGCCCGGCGGCAGGGCCGACACTACCTGCACGCAGCAGGCTTCATTGGAGGGGGCCTGGAACACACAAATAAAAAGACACAAACAAATAACAGGATTTCTCATATTCCATTCTAGATTATTGTCTTCCCCCCACTTCCTATATTTTCCCACCTTTTCCTGGGAATCGACGATTCATTGTGCCTGTGTGTTTTTGCTCCCCCTGATTCATGGCCCCCCCTTTCCCTGCAGTGCGGGCGCGGCCGCCAGAAAGCCTCGCACGAGATCCAACCCTGAAAATCCCCGCACGCGAGGTGCAACCGAGTGGGGAGAGGGGCCCGGGGTGCCCTGCTGGCAGCAGTTTCTCGCTGCCCGCGGGAGGTTCGCCACGCAGCGCGTGCGGCGACAAAGAAGCCCAAGGCACCCTGACGAAACGCAGATGGTCTCGCGCAACTACCGACCCGGGCCAATCCAAACCCGGGTAAGTCAGGCCCTGCAGGATCCCGCAGGATCCTGCGCCCAGGCCGGGTTCCGTGCCCCCTGGCCCTGCAGGACCTGCAAGATCTGGCGCCCTGGATGACCCCCGATTAGATGGAGCCCCACCCCCTGAGCCCTGAGGGGGGAGGAGGGAGACGAGGCGGCTGGCCATCTCGGAAGGCCTCGGGGGCTCTCCGGGGGGGCCTCGGGGCCTGTCCGAGAGGGCCTCAGGTCGGGGGGGGCGCAGGTAAAGTGACCGCGCTACAGTAGGAGGAGGAGGAGGAGAAGGAGAAGGATGAGGAGGAGGAAGAGGATGCTCCCTTTTTCCAGTTCAGGCGGGCCAGGTGGCGAGGCTTCGAGACGCTGCAGGCGCAAGAGGCTGCCGCCCGGGGATTTCCGATCCGCGGGCGGCCACGGACATCAACTGAAATTTCGGACTCATGCAAGGACGAAGGGAAAGCGAGGGGGGGAGGGAGGGAGCTTGAGCGAATACGTCAACGGAAATCGCAGACGGGCGGCCCGCAACGCTTCCAAAGGAGCAACCCTGTTCGAAGAACGACTAATGCTCCCTTTTTCCAGCTCAGGCGGGCCAGGTGGCGAGGCTTCGAGACGCTGCAGGCGCAAGAGGCTGCCGCCCGGGGATTTCCGATCCGCGGGCGGCCACGGACATCAACTGAAATTCCGGACTCATGCAAAATGCTGCAAATTGCACAGCTGAACTGGCAACGCCGAGAATGCATCTACAAAATAGCCAGAATATTCAAGGGTCCTCCATCGCTCGAGCAGCGCGGCCAATCAGAGCGGAGAACTGCCCAGCCCGGGACCTGGCCTTTTCGTCTGCGTACGCTCTGGCGAGGATGTTGCAGAGCTTCCGAGGATATGCTTCTGCCAACTTGGTGCGGAATCTGCCTGAAGCGTCCTTCCCGGACAGCTCCTGATGCTTCTGCCCGGTGATGACACAAACGGGCCCCGTACACCTGAACTTGGCCAAGGGCGCCAGGTCGAGGAGAAACGCCACGATCTTGGTGCTCTTCCTCCAGGGCGCCCCGAACCGGCAGTACTCGATCACCTGGGACGTGACCTGCCGGCGTCGGAGCAGAGACTGCATCGGCGGCAGCTGCCACGCGTAGCTCAGAGCGGGGTTCTCGAGGGACCAAAGGACGAAACACTGGCAGCTCAACACGCAGAAAGATATTGTGAGCCGCGCGTACAAGTTGCCCCACTTGACTTTCTGAAAGTCGGCGCCCTCGACGGGGAGACTGGGCAGCCCCCAGACGTGCTCCTGCGATCGGAGCCGGGGTGGGCCGTTGGGGCGGTCTCGTGCCCGCGAGAAGGTCTCGCAGGGAAAGCCCGCATGCATGCCGCAGACAAGCCCCGCCCGAATCCAGCCCCGAATGAGGCGGGCGTTCCTGGGGTCGCGCAGGTCGTAGGCGGGGCCGTATACGATGTCCCAGCGCAGGGTGGGGACATTCCCCCGTCCCACGGCGTCGGACAGGTGGCCCGAGCCCGCGAACAGCTCGAGGAACACGGCGACGGTGGGCGCCCTCAGCGGCCCAAAGATGGCGCCCGCCTCTCCCGCAACACGTCGGGGAGCTCTTGCGCGGCCGCAGCGGCCGCTCGCGGCCCGTCGGGCGGCGGGCGGCGCAAGAGGTTGGCCAGGCGCCCCCTTTGCTTGCAGTGCTGGAGGCGCTGGGTCCACCGCCACCGCCCGCGGCGCCGGGTCTCCTTCAGCCGCCGGGCGCCGATCGCGAAGTCGACGCTCGCTCCCGTGCGCCGGATACGATAGGCGTCGAGTGGCCCGAAGGGCCCCAGGCGCCAGGCAGCCGCGGCCACGTCCAGGGCCTGGCACAGGGCGCAGGGCGACAGGTCCAGCCAGTGCCCCTCGCCGCGCTCCAGCCCCAGCTGCCCCAGGGCGACCGCGAGCGCCGCCTGCCGGTCGAGGTAGAGGCCGATCGCCTGGTCGAGCACCTGGCTCTTGGACGGGGTCTGCCTTTCGAGCGGGTAGAGCAGCAACGATGCGGGGGTCCACCCGCGAACTCCGCTGAAGGCCTCCGCCAGCTCGGCGCGGCCCCGCAGCGGAGGTGGCTCTCCCGGGCGCAAGTGCATCTCCATCATCCTGAGGATCGCCAGCGCGTGGGGCCGCAGCCCCTGACAGATCTTCCAACTCGCCAGCAGCGCTACCAAGGGCGGTGGCAGGCGGCCTCCTGCCGGGGCAGCTCGGCGCCAGCCTCGTGGGCCCTGCCGGCAGGTGGGCGTCCGCCCGCACCTCAGGTTGCTGAGGCGGGGCCTGGCCCTCCACACCGACGCCAGAAGCTTCGCGCCCGCGCCCAGCGAGTCGCCCTCCATGGACCTGATCTCCATCAAGCCCGCGATGGCGATGTCCCACTCCTTCTCGGTGGACGGGTGGCCCTCGCGGGGGTCGCAGAACATGCGCGCGGCGCCCAGGCGGAGGGAGTACTGGGCCTGAGTCGTCGCCGATCCCCAGGCCCTCCGAGGCGACCTCATCCGGGCGGTTGGGGCCCGCCCAGCAGCCAGCCCGGCAGCGCGCTCCGCCCGCGCCTGCGCCGCCTCCGCCCGAGGGCCCCCAGCTCCCAGGGGGGCCGAGGCCGGGCGGGAGGCCGACTCCGAGCTGGGCAGCGGCAGCCAGCGCACCGCGGGGGTCGTCGGTCTGTCGGACCTGCCGCGCGCCAGCATCACGGCCCTCGTCGGCGGCGGCTGCGAGCTCGCGCCGCAGGCCGGCAAGCGGGTCGCTCGGCGCCGGGCGGCCGCGCGACGGCCCGTCCGCAGGGTTGAGCTCCGACGCGATCCAGCGCGACCGCAGAAGGCTGCCGGTCCCCAACAGCAGGGCGCCCAGCCGGCGGGTCACAGAGAGCATGCCCTCGGAGGAGGACCGCCCCTTCGTGGCGGCCAGGGAGGCGGAGATCGAGTCCCCTATCACGAGCAGCCTCGAGCCCAAGTTGGCGACGGACCTCAAGAGGTGGCGGACCCCGTACAAAAGCGCCTCCGCTTCCAGGACCGGCATGGACCCCGAGGGCCGTCTCCACTTCTGCCTCCCGCACACCCTCCAAGGGGCCCTCAGGAGGTCCAAGGGGACGTCCTCGAACGGCGCCCGGTGCCGGCGGTCGAACTCGCTCTCGGGTCGGTCGTGTCGAGACTGGGGCCGCACGTGCTCCATCAGGATCCGCCTGTCGGCCTCCCCTTCACCCACGGGCAGCTGCGCAGCGGCCGCGGCGAAGGCACGCTCACGGGGTGGCAGCCCCTCTCGGGCCGCCTCCCGAGCCCCAGCTCGCTCCGAGTGACGGCAGGCCTCCTTGATCAGGGCCATCGGCGGTCGTCCCCGAACAGCCCCAAGGCCCCACGGCGATGCGTCCACCACGACGACGTCCGGACAGGTTCCTGCTGAAGTGCTGACCCAGATGAGCGGGGCGATTCGGTCCCAGGTGTCGAGCTCCTTCCGCGCTGAGGCCCAAAGGGCCCGAGGCCCCCGGGCTGGGCATCTCCGCGCGGCCTCACAGAACCTGTAACAATATTTGAAGACGCTGAGCGACTCTCGCCTACACAGACCGATGAAGCACAGATGGCCCAGGAGGCGCTCAAGGTCCCCTCCAGAGACCGAGGCCCGCGCCAAAAGACCCCGAATGGCGAGGCGAGCCTTCCAGACGCGCTCGGGGGTCGGGCGGAAGGTGCGCCGGAGGCAGTCGATCTCCCACCCCAGCACGACATCCCGCCCACATGAGACAGATTCTTTATGCAGAGGCAGCCCTCGGGACTCGAGGGCTCGAGACACTCCCGCCAAGCGCTCGCGGACAACCGCTTCGCTCGTCGAAATCACAACATAGTTATCGACGTACTGCGCGTGAGGGGAAAGGGCGAGGGGAGGCGGAGGAGATCCGTCTGCGAGCCGGGCGGCAGCAGGGGATCCTCCCTCCTCGGCCGCCCGCTCGTGGATAGCCTGGCACCACCACAGGGCCCAGGGCCAGCCCATGGGCAGGGCACGCATCCGAGGGGTCACCCAGGTCCCCGGGGACACCCGGACGCCCTGGAGTTGGGAGATGCCCGCCCACGAGGCCCGAATTTTACGCAGCCCGAAAAACTGGCGGAGCCCCTCCGGGAGCTCCATGTGATAGAAAGCGCCCTTTATATCGACCTGGCCGATAAAGACTGGCTGACCGAAAGATTCCTCGCCATGCACCTGGGCGAGGGTATCGCCGGACACTAAGCTGACAGGGGCGGGCGGCTCAAAATGCTGATTAGACCGACGACAGTCGACGACCAGGCGCTGCCGACCGCCCCCCTTCTTAACAAAGAAGCAATCCACCACCTCGGTGGCTCGTTCGAGCGTCAGCTCAACTACGCCAGCCTGGACTAGTCGCTGAATGAATTCGCCGTATAGGGCAGGAGAGCGGAGGCGGGGATCACCGCAGGGCCGAAGGGGGCCCGAGTCCTTTAATTTCGTGCGAGCCACGTCGATGGGCAAGACTTGCGACTCAACAAAGCGTGCAACAATGCTTTCCCCGCCGGATCCCCAGAGCCGAGCGAGCGGGGTCGGGGTAGACCCTGCTGCCGGGAGGGACACGCGGGAGGCTTCATAGCCCACGGGGTCCCCCCCTGCGTCGTAGGGGAGGCCGAGGCGCAGCGCCTGGAGGGCTGCCGCCTGCGAAAGATCATCCGGGGGAGGCCCCAGGAAAGAGACAGAGGATTCAACATGCTCGAGCATACGCTGCTGCCCGCGGCTCAGATCAGCTGGCACAGGTACCCCATCACGTCGGCCGCACAGCGTGTTGAGACCCTCCAAGCACCGAAGAACGTCGGCGTGATGACGCTGCCGACGGCCGACTCTCTGCCGGCAACCCCGTGAGAGCCCAGGTGCAGGTGGCCCCGACGAGGCGAGAAGCTCCGCGGGGAAGGGCAGCAGATCCCTTCCCACGTTCCTGTCAAAATCTCCCGGCGGCACGACGGCTTGCCGAGCTTCCCCAGTCATGTTTGGTTCCCCCCCGCCCGACCTGAGGGACGTCAGGGGGGGGCGGTCGAGCATCACCCCTGGCCCAGCCGCTGGCCCTGCTTCCGCCGGCCCAGCGACTTCCAGGCCGCGCGTGCCTTCAGGCGGCTCTTGGTCAGCGAGACGGCGCGCTCCAGCTCCAGCCTGGCGACCTCGAGGAGCGTGGGCGACACCATGAGCCCTGTCTCGGCCCGGGCGGTGGCGCCGAAGGCGGCCTGCTCGTCGGCGGTGAGCCTCCCCCTGGGCGAGCCCGCCGTCCTCCCGCACAGCTCGTCACCGTGACAGCACTCGATCGTCTGCGGCCGGCGGGTCATCATCTCCACCGCTCGGGAAATGGACATATACTTCTGACCGTGCTGGGGCGTCGCCTCCAGGTAGCTGATCACGCTGGCGCACTCCTCCATGCCACCCTGAGTGACCTGCGGGCCGCACAGCTTCTCCAAGTGCTCGACTTGGGACTCGAGCGGGCGGCCTTCGCCCGCGAGGTGCTCGAGGCACCGCCTGGTCGCCCGCGGCGCGATGGAGTCGGGGAGGTGCTCTCGGCGCCAGCTCTCGAAGAGGTTCTCGAGCGTCCGAGGAGGCCTGCCCGCGCGATCGAGGCGGCCCGGCGGCAGGCGGCCCTCCACCGCCCCGTCGCCGAAGTCCGACTCGTCGACGAAAGCGACCCACTCGACGGAGAACGACGACCCATCTGCGTATGGAGTGACTCCGCCGCCCGCGGCCCGTACAGCCGCCGCGGCCGCGCCTCCTCGGCGCTTCATCTCGCCCGGCAGGGGCGCGGGCGCCAGGGCGGCGGGTCCCGCGGCAGGCAACGGGGCTTTCGCCGGCACGACGACCCAGCCCCCGCCCGGCGGCGCGCCGGCGGCGGGCAGCCCGGCCCACGCGGCCCCGACAGCGGCCACCGGCGCTCCAGGCGCAGCCCAGGGCTGTGCCTCGAGGACGGGCGCCTGCCCGGCCTCGCCGGGGCGGCGCCGTACTGAGCAGCGCCGAGCCTCAGCCTGGGCGTCGGGGAGCCAGGCCGCCTCCCCCGCCGCGATCGGGGGACTCGCGGAGCGGTGGGCCCGCCCGACGCCCGTAGGCCGAGGGGCCAGGGCGGGCGCCCACCTCACCTCTGAGGGACGCCAGCTGATCCTCCCCTTCCCGCGCGGGCCCGGCGCCGGCGGCACCAGCAGCCATCGCCCCACCTTCCGCGGTCGCCGAGCGCAACGCCGATCACCTGCGTCGCCACGGCCGCTCTCCAGGCCGCTCCCGCCGTCGGGGCCCCGGGCACCGCGGGGGAGGCGAGCCGGCTCCCGCTGCGAGCACTGGGGAGCCGGCGCCCCCAGGCAGGCCGGGCCGGGCAGCACCGCGGGGTAGACGCACTGCCAGACCGGGCACACCGGCGCCGGCGGCGGCGGTGGCGGGGACGCTCGTCTCAACCAGGAGGCCACATCATGCGAGAGCAGGGTGATGGCTCCGACCGCCCACGGGCGCATCATGCCCCGTGGGGAAAAAGCTTGAGCGAATACGTCAACGGAAATCGCAGACGGGCGGCCCGCAACGCTTCCAAAGGAGCAACCCTGTTCGAAGAACGACTAAGGAGGAGGATGAGGACCTATGGATGACCCGTGGTAAGATGGATGATCCCCGACTTGATGGATGACCCCCGATTAGATGGAGCCCCGCCCCCTGAGCCCCGTGGGGGGAGGAGGGAGGAGGATGAGGATGAGGAGGAGAAGGAGGAGGAGAGGGAGGAGGAGCGTTGAGAACAGAACGAAAAGGGACATCTCTGGCCGCAGCGAGCCTCGGCCACGAATAGGCTCCCCCCCGCCTACGTAGGTCTGAGGAGCGGCCCGAGACCTAAAGACCCTCCCTCCTCCTCCTCCTCCTCCCCCTCCTCCTCCTCCCCCTCCTCCTCCCTCCTCCTCCTCCTCCTCCTCCTCCTCCTCCTCCTCCTCCTCCTCCTCCTCCTCCACGCCCGAAGTGGGGATCCGCTCCGGACGGCCCCCCGAAGGAAGGAGATATCGCCCTCAAGCTGGGCTCGCTCCCTGACCCCACCTCGGACGAAGCCCCGCTCCAGACACACACCCGATCGTGAAAGGCGGGGCGGCCGATGGGAAGCCCCCCTGCCCTCTCAGGGAGACCGCCCCTCCCCTATCCTGCGCGCCACCGAGCCTCCGCGACCTCGCGGGCGCCCTCAGGCGGGTTCACCTCGGGGAGAAACAGAACAACAAAAAAAAACACGGCACGCCGCCGTGGGAAACCCATCGGCGCGCCACTGCGGAAGACACGCCAGGCCTTCGGACAGAGACATGCCAGAGTAGCACCGGGGAGCAAAAAGGTGCGGATACCGCTGCTCCACGTGCCTCTCCCAGGGTGCGCTCTGACCAGAACTTCGAAGAGAAGCCAGCCGTGGCGACGAGGCCTGTCAAGGACGAGCAGTGGATGTGGTTATCGGCAACGCTGCCTCCTCTGAGCCCAAGACCCCGACGTCGTGTTTGTTTCACGGCGTGGACCCCCAGAATTATGGAATCCTTCCTCAGGAACGGTGTTTGAGCCCAGGTCGTTTTTGTTGACGGTCTCAGGGGCAGGCGAGGATCGATAGTAACGATGCGCGATAAGGATACAAGCCCATTAGACGCCCATGTCGAAGATGTTCGAGCTGGGCTGACCACCGAAAGTGGTCAAAGATGGACTGAGGAGGCAAGGATGCAAGGGTACCCTTGGGAAGGAGACCCATCATGATTATCGGTTTCGGACGCGATTGTATGATGGCGTATGCGGCCGCAAGACACTTTCGTGATACGTTGTTGTTTTCTCCTTTTCGTTGGGGGGGTGCGTATCGAATGCTCTCCGAGCTGTTTTGCGTGATTATCCTCCTCCTCCCCCACTCCCTCATATGGTGGGGGATTCGCGTATTGATTCCTGTTATGGTGGATTTGACCTCCTCCCCGGGTGGGGGAGGGAAACAAATAAGAAGCAAACGAACAGCGGGGGGGGAGGGGGTCAGTTCATGTTCTCACACTTCCCTTTCACCCTCCCCCCGCTCAAACATTGGGGAAGGGGGGGACAACATGAAACATAAAGCGGGGTTTGGGGGGGATACCATTTCTTTTGGTACTCGCCCCCCCCGAATTCAAAAACAACATGCAAAAGCATCAACGCCATCGCCACCACTGCCCTATCCCTTAGGAGTTATTCGTTAGGAGGCCTTACTACAGGGGCACTTACAGAAGGACACTTACGAAAGGCATCTCCATTCAGAAAGCCTCATTACAAACATCCTTACTCAGGGGCTCCATGACGAAAGGTATCCTTACTCAGGACGCCCGCATCAACCTGAAGGGCCCCGTACTGAAGGAAACACACATAAATAATCGTCGCTGTGGGGGTACGTACCGACGGGACCCTTGCTATAGGCATCCCGTCGAAGGACGCTGCACCAAACTCATCATTGCGAAAGATCCACTACTACAGAACACATGCTTAATGAATGCTTACGACAGCGATGCTTACCATGGGGGGGCCTTGCTCAAGTCGTGCTCGCCAAGGCTTCCTCACTAAAGGAATCCGTACTAAGGGCTCCTTCGTAGTAGTCTTACCAACGAACGCTTACTAGAGGCATCCACTCCACGGGCTTCTCAACTGAAGGGGCTCTTACTAAAACCTCTTTGATGAAAGCACCCGGGCTGATGAATGCGTTCTAAACTGAACGCGCTCTTGTTGAGAAGTCCTTGCGAAAGGAAGTCGTGGTAAGAAATACGTATTGCATTAATCCATACTTGGGGGTTCCTTACTAAAGGCATCCCCACGCAGGGGGGGCGTACTACAAGAATCCTCGCAAAGGAACCAGTTGTGAAGGTAGCCTTTTTCAGGACTCTGCACTATAGGACACATGGACAAACTATCCTTACTGCAAAGGTCCTTACTCAATGGGGTATTTACTAAATGCATGCTAAACGTTTCTGAACCATTTAAGGTCCTTGGTACGGATTCCTTGGTGCCGGCACCTTACCAACGGGATCGTGCCAAAGGCATCCACTCTTTTAGGTTGTCGCACTACAAAAGTCCTTACTCCAGATTCCTTGCTACGGGCAGGCGTGCTAATGAATGCGTGCACAAGATGTCCATACTTAGCAAGCGTCCTTACTAAGGATCACCCACTATGATCCCACCGAGGGCACCCGCATGGCGCCCAACAGAGGTTTCATTGGCTGGGCTGTGCGCTAGTGCATAAGGGTGGGAGGAAGAGAGAGAGACATAGAGAGAGAGAGAGAAAGACAGAGAGATAGAGAGTGAGAGTGCGAGTGAGAGAGAGAGAGAGAGAGGCAGGCAGAAATAGAAAAAGAGAGAGAGAGAGAACGAGCAACCACGAGTAACCACGTCCTCCTGCCACTTCCCCCCTCAGTGTTGCGGGCTCCGTGGGAGAGCAGCCAGACCCCCACCTCATTTCCTCCTGTCTACGCCTTTCTGAAAGACTCCGTACCCAGGATCCCGAGCTGAAGGCATGCAGATCAAGGAATCCTTACTGGCCAATTCTGGCTGCCCCGCGCATCCGACAATGGATTAACCATGCCGCCAACCGCGTGCACTTCTGAGTGGCAGCGTCCACCGTGTTCCACCGAGACCCCGTCACAGATGCGCACCCCAAAGACCTGAGAGCTGCAAGCACGTACGCACCCAACGAACCCTCACGTGCACGACTGCCGATGCAAGCAATGCCGAGCAGGAGGTGCGAACCAAGAGAGCTGAAGAAGGAAGGAGGCAGAGGAAGAGGCGTCATAAGATAGAGGCGTAGGACAGGAATCGCGGCAGGCGAGCAAGGAGGAGAGAAAACCAGATGCTGGAGGGAGACTGGCAGCGACTAGGAGGATGAGGGGACAGATAGAACTGTAAGAAAACAACATGTTCGAAACAACTACCGTAGCTGCCTGCTGAAACAACGCCACGATTGAATCGAACGACCAGGCCAACACAACTCGCAACACTATCCCCGAAAGGCTCTGCGCCGTCAGCTTCCCTGGCATGAGCCCCGAAGGGCTCAGCGCCACGGAACGTGAGAGCACACGCCCCGAAGGATTCGGCGCTCTCAGCACGATTGGCGCGCGCCCGAGAGCGTTCTGCGCCAAGGGCGCGTAAGCCAAGACCACAAGCCCGAAGTGTTCTGCGCTAGAGACCTACACGACATTAGCAGCATTAGCCCCAAAGGGTTCAGCGCCGCATGGCACAAGCCCCGAAGGGTTCTGCGTCCAAGGCCTACATGGCACGAGCCCCGAAAAGTTCAGCACCAGTGGCACGAAGCCCGAAAGGTTCAGCGCCAGGGAGCATGAGAGCGAAAGCCCCGAAGAGATCTGCGTTCTCAGCGCGATTGGCACGAGCCCCGAAGCGTTCTGCGCCAAGAGCGCGTAAGCCAAGACCAGAGCCTCACACGGTTCTGACCTCGAAACCTCCGTGGCACGAGCCCCGAAGGATTCGGCGCCGCATGACACGAACACCGAAAGGTTCAGCGTCGGAGAGGCGAGCGAGGAGGAGAGAGGACAAGCGGCTGGAGGAGGCCGAGACTGGGGAGGAGTAAGATGATGAGAAGGAGTATGAGGCGTGAGCGCGCCCAAGTCTCGTGTGGCAGGTCGCATGCTCCACCTCCGTGACCGATTTCGATTGTAATCTTTTCCTCCCCTGCCCAAATGGCCGCGTCGCGGGCGCCCAGCACGTGCAGGGCGCGGAAGCCGGGCGGCCCCGCCGCCGCCAACGCCGCCATCGCCTCCCGGAAGGGGCCTGGCACCTGGAGGCCTCCCAAGGGGGGGGGGGTCCGAACGCAGTCAACCAGTGCAGGAAGGATGCGCGATGAGGCTGCAGGGACCTTCGGACCCCTAAACTCCCCGCTTTTCAAGCGGGGCGCGGCCAGCGAACGCGGCGAAGGATGGACCGAGGAGGCAAGGATGCAAGGGTACCCTTGGGAAGGTTGCCCATCCATACTGTGTGGGTCGACTGTAGATGGGGTTTGCCAGACCACCCCTCGAATCATCAGGACAAAAACAAACACACGACGGAAGGGTCTTGGAAACTTCCGGCACCCGGGGGCGCTCGCTGGGCCCCAGGACCTTCAAAACTCGACTCGGGATGAGCAACCGACCCGAAGGAATGGGGACCTCCGGGAGTCCACGTCATGAACAAATCATGGCGCCGGGGGTCTGGGTGTACGGGGTCGGAGGATCGCGCCAGCGTCGCCGACACGCATCGGGGATGCATCGGCGACGTCGGCGACGCATCGACACCGCTGGAGTGGAGAGAGTCGGACTCCACATCGAGCCACATCGGTGACGCAGCGCGCTCCTACGACCCCCGCCGCCATGATTGATTCATGACGTGGACCTCCAGAGTTCCGGAAACTTCCCCAGGACCGGCGTTTTATCCCAGGTGGTTATTTTGACGGTCCTGGGGCCTGGTGTCGAAGAATGATCAACACATATCCATACACTTTGAGGGCTGGGAGGGAGCAGGACTGGCAATGGGTACGGGTGTGAGCTGTCGGACCCCTGGGGAGGCTCCCGTTCGAGCGGGGACCTCCATCCGACATCACGCACTCATAGACCCGTCCGTCCGTCCCCCCATGGGTTTTGGTGTGTGTGTGTGTTGTTCGCTCGTCATGGCGAAGGCGCCCAGAATCTGAAAACTGCCATGCACACACCCTCCGCGATTTTTGTTTGAACGACTCGAGGCGGCCTGCCTCCTCCGACCCCATCTGCTCCGAGCCCTTCTCTGGAAGGCCCGAGGCACCGCGGAGCCGAACAGCAGCAGCGCGCCAGCCCGCAGCGCAGGCTCCGCGGGTGCCGTCGCGGCCTCCTTAGGGGGAGCGCTACCTACCCAGAGCTCCGACGATATGACTTTTCCCCACACGGCTGGTTGGGACTGTCATCCTGAGTTCCAGCATGGCTGGACCTAAACGTTCATGTTCGTTTTGCTTTCGTTACGTTTTTCGTTCTGCTCTCCCAATTTTCCGGTACCTCCCTGCCAAAACGAAAAACAAAACACAATCGAATGCCAGCAAAACGGAATTTAGGTCCAGCCCTGAGTTCCAGCGTACTGACAACATCCGCCGACCTCCGCTTGCCCCGGGGGGGAAGAGGCGTGTCAGATGATTGGGTGTCCCCCGCCCCCTCGCCCTGGGTGGGGGGACGAGCTCCTCAACACATCCCCGGGGCCTCTGAAGCCGCTCCAGAGCCCCAAGGCGCCTCAAGACGGCCCAAGGAGGGCCAAAACAAAACGCCAAAACAGTCCAAGAAAGCGTCGAGATGGCCCAAGGTAGCCTCACGGTGATTCAAGCAGGCTTCGTGAATGTCCACGACGCGCCCAAGACGGCCAAAGAGTGATCTGAGAGGACTGCTGGGAGGCCCCGAGAAACGAACATCGTCCCAGTCCCTGGAGAAATGTACATTATTCACTGCGTGGAGCTCCCCATATGTGCATCTACTCGCATGGACCTGTCCGCCGTGAACGTCTAGGCGCAAGAGCTTTCGAATATTAACGGGCTTCAGTTGTGACGGTCTGGACATCAATCTAACTGCGAATGAATTGGAGTGTGAATGAGCCTCAGTAGTACGAGCGCGTCTCTGTGCATGAGCCTGGGGCCTCCTGGGGCCTCCTGAAACCTACTGGGGCTTCCTGGGGTCTCCAGGAGCCTCTTGGGACCTCCTGGGACCTCCTAGGAAGGTTTCGTGCCCCAGGAGAGGCGCAATCTATAGCAACAGACGTACATAAAACATTGCGGATTAGAGCCACAGGAGAAGGGCAATCTATAGGAACACGCGTAAAACACCAAGGACTCGTGCCCCAGGAGAGGCCCAATACATAGGAACATGAGTAAAACATTTAGGATTGTGTACACAGGAGAAGGACCATCTATAGAAACATACGTAGAACATCAAAGAATCGTGCTCCAGGTGAGGCCCAATCGATAGGAGCATACGTAAAACACATGGGATTGGAGCCACTCCTGTTGCCTTCTGAGGCCTCCTGCTCCTGGGGCCTCTCGGGGCCTCCTGTTGCCTTCCGAGGCCTCCTGGCGCTTCCTGTTGCCTCCTGGGGCCTCCTGTGGTTTCCTGAGGCCTTCTGGAGCTTCCTGGGGCCTCCTGGAGCCTCTTGGGACATCCTGTGGCCTCTTGAGTCTTTCTGTGGCCTCCTGATGCCTCCTGGGACCTCATGTGGTCTCCTGGGGCCTCCTGGAGCCTGTTGGAGCCTCCTGTGGCATCCTGAGAAGAATCTGCGCCCACGAGCCGGCCACCAAAACAAGCAAACCGATCGAGACATCCTCAAAATCTGGCCCACCTGGGGGGTGAAAATGAGCGCCTCGCTCGAGACATCCTCCAAATCTGCTCCGAAAGCGAAGGATGTTGGGCCCAGAAACAGGCAAACCGCCTGAGACATCCCCACAAAATGGCCGCGAACGAGCCCGTGCAACCACCCCTGGCGGCTCCCCTTAGGGGTGCTGAAATGAGCGCCTCGCTCGAGACATCCTCCAAATCTGCTCCGAAAGCGAAGGATGTTGGGCCCAGAAACAAGCAAACCGCCTGAGACATCCCCACAAAATGGCCGCGAACGAGCCCGTGCAAACACCCCTGGCGGCTCCCCTTAGGGGTGCTGAAATGAGCGCCTCGCTCGAGACATCCTCCAAATCTGCTCCGAAAGCGAAGGATGTTGGGCCCAGAAACAAGCAAACCGCCTGAGACATCCCCACAAAATGGCCGCGAACGAGCCCGTGCAAACAAAATGGCTCCGCGAACGAGCGCCGTGGCCGCGCGAAACACCCCTGGCGGCTCCCCTTAGGGGTGCTGAAATGAGCGCCTCGCTCGAGACATCCTCCAAATCTGTGTATGAGTAAGTCTGTGTATGAGTATGTCTGTGTGTGAGTAAGTCTGAGTATGAGTAGGTCTGAGTATGAGTAAGTCTGAGTATGAGTAAGTCTGTGTATGAGCAAGTCTGAGTATGAGTAACTCCGACAGGAGGGGAGGAGGAAAGAGGAGGAGGGAGGAGGAGGAGTAGGAGGCGTCCAAGTAATAACAAGAACCCCATCTTAGGATATGGGGAATAACAAGAAGAGGCGCCATGAAATCTGGAAAAATATCATGGCCCACGCTATGATATCCAACCCCCCCTAGTCAGAACCCCCCTCATGGCCGCCCCCGAATTTTCTCGGCCTGCCTACTTTTGAGGGGGATCGGAGGAATGGCGCAAGCCTCCTGAATCAAGACGGAGATTACTCGCCGGTGCACTCGGATTCCAGATGCCCTCGGCCGGTCCCAAGACCGTCGGAATGAAAACATCCAGTCCTTGCAAGCGGGCCGAAACTTCCGGGACCCCGCATGGAGATGACCCTGCGGCGTACCCAACCCATCTGCACGATGAGACAAGAGGAGCTGATCCAGAAGGGTGCACTCGACCAGGATAGTAAGGATGCGCGGTAAGGATGCAAAGGCCCTGGAACGCCATGTTGACGTTTTCCGTGCGGAGCGCAGCAGGATGCCGAAGGATAACGAATACCGAAGGGGCAAGGATGCAAGGGTAGCCTTGGCAAGTTGCCCCATCCTTACTATCGTGGTTGACTGTATGGCACATGACAGCGCAGAATTTGTCATTGGTTGCGCAGCCTGGTTGGGAAGCGCGCGCGCGCGCTGCATGACTCAGACGAAAGCAACAGAATGACGAGGACTGAAGCCCTAAGCCCAAGAAGGGAGTGGAAATGGGAACGGAGGGCGGGACAATGACGGAAGAGAGGCCGAAACACTAACGCAACAGCAGCCGCGAGACGGTGGAACGAGGAAGAGGACGACAACGAGAGAGGCAGGACGAGGATGTTGTGCTGGCACGCTGAACAAGCAGCGCGGTCCGCGCCATGCCGCTCAGGTGAGGAGGAGGAGGAGGAGGAGGAGGAGGAGGAGGAGGAGGAGGAGGAGGAGGAGGAGGAGGAGGAGGAAGCGAGCGGAACGAACTCACCCCGCCAGGTTCTCCGCCTCCCTTCCTGCCCCCCTTGCAGCGCGGGAGCTCGAAGCCCGCGGGCGCGACGCCAAGATTTCGGCGTGGCCCGCGCGAACGAGAGTTCGTCCTAATGGTGAAATCAGACACCACGCAAAAACACCACGCAAATACACCACGCAAAAACACTACGCAAATACACCATTAAGAAATTCTATTTCACCATTAAGATTTCTATTTCACCATTAAAACGCTTATTTCACCATTAGGAGAAACCGTTCGCGCGAACAGAAATCAATGCAAATTTCAGTCCGCGTATGACTTCGCTATGATGGACCCCCAGGCAGCCCTCGAGAGTGGCGACGGTTTGAGAATCCGCAGTCTCCCCCAAAGGGTAGCGGAGTCCAATCGGAGTCTGCGTAGCACGTCACTCGCGTGGACTTCCGAGCAGCCCGCGAAAGTAGCGGCGGTTCCGCAGTTCGCAACCCGCCAAGGATGGCGAGGTCAAATATGAGTCTGAGTAGCACGTCACCCCACTGGACCCCCCCGCAGCCCTCGAAAGTGGCGGCGGTTTCGCAGTTCGCTACCCGCCAAGGATGGCAAGGTCAAATCTGAGTCTGCGTAACACGTCACTCCGCTGGACCCCCCCGCAGCCCTCGAAAGTAGCGGCGGTTTCGCAGCGCGCAACCCGCCAAAGATGGCGAGGTCACATCTGAGTCTGCGTAACACGTCACTCCGCTGGACCGCCCAGCAGCCCGTGCAAGTTGCGGCGGTTCGGCAGTTCGCAACCCGCCAAAGATGGCGAGGTCGAATCTGCTTCTGCGTAAAACGTCACTCCGCTGGACCGCCCAGCAGCCCGTGAAAGTGGCAACCCTTCCGCAGTTCGAATATCCTCAAGGATGGCGAGGTCTAATCTAGTTCTGCGTAGCGCGTTGCTTTGCTGAACCCCCAACAGCCCTCGAAAGTGGCGACGGTTACGCAGTTCGCAGGCGACCAGGGATGGCGAGGTCTAATCCGAGCCTGCGTCGCACGTCACTCCGCTGGACCCCAAAGCATCCCTCGAAATTCGCAGGCCCCCCCAAGGACGGCGAGGTCTAACCTGAGTCTGCGTAGCATGTCACTCCGCTGGGCCCCCAAGCAGCCCTCGAAAGTAGCGAAAGTTTCGCAGTTCGCAGCTTCCCAGCACCCCCCCAGCCAGGACGGCGAGGTAGGACGGCGAGGTAGGAGGCAGGTTAGCAGGCAGGTACAAGGGGGGGAGAGGAGGAACGAAGCGGAAGGAGATTGCGACCGCAATGGTCTATTCAACGCAGGAGGGCTGGGACAAATCATGACATCGGACCTCTGGATAATTTCAACAAAAAAAACTCCCGACCCGCTTATCACACCCTGCATACCTCGGCCGCCAGGCCCGAACCCATCCCTGGGCATCCCGCTCAACCTGCGCGTTGTTCCTCGCTTTCGGCATCCAAAGGCCGCTACTGGGCCCCGGGGCAACCAGAAATGGATCCAGAACGAACAACTAACCCGGGGAAGAGGTCCGGATAGGGACGCATACTGAAAAAAACATGTCCTCGGATGTTTTGGTGCTGAGAACGGCGGGAGGAAAGGAAGTTTACCGTGTCGCGGCTGCGAATTGAACATAATCGTGTCATCGGGTGCTTCTGAGTTAAAACCTGCGGAATGGGCAGACAGTGCGTCACCAGGTCCTATCAGGAACTTTTGCTTAGCGCATCGAGTCGGCGGCCCCAGCGACACACTATGACCTGCAGAGTGATGGCGTGTCGGTCCACTTCGTGGGACGGAATGGGGGGGAAATGTAGGCACGTGGACGCTTGGAAATGGGGACGTGGTTAGCGTGTCCCGCCGAGGCGTGGTGGGCCAGAACCAGCGGCACGAGACTCTGAGACAACGTGTATCTCGACCGTGTGTTGATCGAATCTTACGTGCAAGTAGCGTGGATGCAACGTAGAAGTGGCTCGTCTTACAGATGTCCTCTGTCTGCTCGGGCCCAGACCATCAACTCGGAGGCGGAAACGTCGAGCTGGAGTCGACGGCGCGTCGCCGATAGTCAGCGATGGGCCCCCGCTTGCGAAACCGCAGATTCCTAGGCGTTGTGGGCTATGATGACCTCCGACACGATCGGATCGTGAGCAGCTCTGGCCTCTGCGACGGTTCCTCCTTCTCCTCCTCCTCCTCCTCCCCCTCCTCCCCCTCCTCCTCCTCCTCCTCCTCCTCCTCCTCCTCCTCCTCCTCTTTTTCTCCTTCTTTTCCTCCTCCTCCTCCTCCTCCTCCTCCTCCTCCTTGTCCTCCTCCTCCTCCTCCTCCTCCTCCTCCTCCCCCTCCTCCTCCTCAGGCCTCTCCCCCACCCGGCGATGCGCCCCCGCCTCGCCTCGTTGTCGGATCGTGCCTTGGGTATCCGACGGCCGTTCGGGACGACCTGGCCAACCCTGGAACGCCCTCGGCGAGGCGCAGCTGCAGGAAGTGCATCTCCAGGCTTGCAGGCCGCCGGACCGACAAGCACGCGCGAAAGCGTGGAATCTCGAACGCCTCCCCCTCCCGCTCGTTCTTCTTCTTCTGCTCATCCTCCTCCTCCTCCTCCTCATTCTCCTCCTCCTCCTCCTCCTACTCCTCCTCCTCCTTCTCCCCCTCCTCCTCCTCCCCCCTCCTCCTCCTCCCCCCTCCTCCTCCCCTCCGTAGCCATTGTAGTTCAGAGTTTTCTTGCTCGCGGTGAACAAGAGTGGATGCCGCAAGTCCGCGGTAGTGCCAGGGCCTTGTGCCCAACAGTCTTTCCCGCACCCCTGCGTCAGCCTGCCCAGGCGTCGCAGGTTCTGAGCTCAAGAAGGAGGTGGCTGCCGCGCGTGCGACCTTTGCTGCCGCAGGCGGTGGTGCCGAGCTTGCTTGGGCAAAGCCTGAAGTCAGTGACAGGCGCAAGCGTCTCAAGCCGGTCGAGAGTATGCTGTTGCTGCTCGGGCCCGACGGTCAGGAGGACGCGGCGAAGCGGACGGTTGTGCGGGACAGTCTGCGGGCCGAGCCTCAAGCAGACAGGCCGATCGAGCAGAGTGTCGACTCCCTCAACGGGCGGAGATCAAGAGCGCCAAGGCCAAGAAGACCGTCGCCACGCAGCGCGTGGCAGGCAGCACGTGCGGCCCTGGGCAGGGCGCTCGCGAGGAGCGCCGGGCAGGCCGAGCAGGACGGGGGCCGGGGCTGTGCGCGGCCTGCCACCGAGGCCACGGAGAAGCCGCGGCAGGCGCGGCGCGGGGTGGCGCTGGCTGCCCGCCGAGAGGCCGAGGCCGAGGCCGCCCACGTCGACGTGCCTCCCAACATACCACAACACCACCACCACAACCACCACCACCGCCACCACCACAACAATCCACCACCACCACCACCACCGTCGTCCTCGTCGACGCTCCCCGCCACCGCCGCCCGCCGCCGCAGGCGCCGGCGCCGGCCAAAAATTGGAAATCGTCGTCCCCGCCACCGTCGCCAGCTGCCGCCGACCCAAGCGCAGCGCCCTGGGCCGGAAGCTGCTGTGGCTCCGTCTGGCGCTGTCGTTCGTGCCCTGGGCGGCACGGCCCAGTGGCCTGCAGAGTGGCAGTCCGTGGCGCAGGAGGTGCACGAGCTGAGGCTGACCACGGCGGCGCGGGCAGCTCAGGTGCCTGAGCCAGGCGCCCAGGAGGTTGAGGTTCCGCCTACGCCGCCTGCCTCTGAGCACGGGGATATGGATGTCGACGCCGGCGTGGCCGCTGCGCATATGGATTCTCTGGGCGAGGCTTCGTGCCGGGAGCATCTCAAGGCCTGTGGCCTCGAGTTCGAGGACGGCGACGATGGCTCACCGTCAGCCCAGGAGTTGCGCGAGCGGCTCAAGCGACACCTCGGCTCCGTCGCGCGCGTGGCCAAGAAGCTCAAGGCAGCACGCGCAGTGGCGTAGTGCGCTCATTCTCGTCAGTGTCCCGATGATGTCCGGTTTCGCTTGTGCATGGGAGGGGCCTGCTGCTGTCCCTCCCATGGCGATGTTGGTTTAGTTGGTGCTGCGGGCGCGTCTCAGTCGCGCTCAGAGGCACGCCGCACGCAAGGGTCAGCCATCAATGCCGGCCAGCGCACCGAAGCCCAGAGCATTTCGACAGTGGGCGGAGGCCATCGCCAGGATGGCAGAGATGAACTGAATCTTTCCGCCGGTGCTAGTAATATGACGCCGACGACGGTTGCCGCGACAGCGACTGTTTCGCATAATGAGTTGCGCGGTGCGCACGGCGCTGAACATGGGCGGGGTATTGGGGGAAGGCGTGCTTTTAAGTCCCCGAGGAGTCAGCCGCCTAAGAAGGGGGAGCACGTCACCGTGGCCACGCTGAACGCCAATAACCTTGGGCCGTGTGTTGACTACCTTGCAGATGCTACCGCACAGGTCGTTCTTGCTCAAAGAGTTGCAAGTGCCTGTCGACTTGATCGCTGATCGGCAGAACCAGGTGAATGGCACTGGGTACCGAGGCAGATGGAGCGCCGCCATACCGAACGAGGCTGGTGGTAGCAGTGCTTGTGCAGTCGCACATCACGGTCACGGCTCCGCCTTGCTCGACCACGCCTCCTGGGGAAGTGTGGTGGTGGCGCATGTGAGATCCCTCTTGCCTGGTGGAGTGGTCTTCGCGTCGGTCTACTTCAAGGGTGGCGAGGGGCTTGGGCCTCAGAACACGTCGATGTTGTGGCGCCTGATCGAGTACCTCAGCTCCCTCAATGGCAAGCAGATGCCCTAGGTTGTTGGAGGCGACCGGAATATGGACATCAGCACCCTCAGCCGGTCGGATTGGCTCGCCAGTGTGGGTGCGGTGCGAACGTGTCCGACGCTGGCTACGTGTCGACAGTCGGCCCCAGGTCGCACCTACGATTTCTTTCTGCGCTCCAGCTGGCTGCTGCCCAAGCCCATGACGGGGGCCATGGTGGACGAGACAGCCACCACGTTTCCGCACCTGCCTGTCCCGATCGAGCTTTGCAATAGCTCTGAGCCAGAAGAATCCCAAGGCTTCCCCTGCGGTGCCACCCATTGGCTGCTCACGGCCGCCCGCGTCCCCGTGGGGGGCTGTGCTGCAGGCTGCGGCGCCGCAGGTGACGTCTCGTGACTTGCCGCCTAGTCTGCGGGATCCGGTCCTCGAGGGCATCGAGACAGAGCTCGCCGGCTGTCGGGGCGCCGCTGGGACCTGCGCCGAGGCCTGCGTGGGCCGAGGTGGATCTCGGGAGGTCCGCCGGCAATGGCTGGCGTGGACCCCGCCCAGAACCAGGACGTGTGATGTAAGGATCCGAGTGCGCACGACTAGGGCACCGCTGCGGGGTGGACCGAGCACGTAGCCAAGATGCGGCAGCACCTCGCCCAAAGAGGTGGGGATCCTCCAGAGCGCGAGCGCCCTCGGCCCGCTCACGCCCAGGCGGTGCTCTTAAGCTGCGGCAGGCCCTGGCGGATTTCGCCAGGTTCATGTGCAGGGTTGCGCGTTGCAAAAGAAGTGTTGTCGCATCTTGGCGTGCCCGCCCGCTCCTTCTTTGAGAGCGGGTTCACGGCGTCAGCTGGACACGATTCTGCGCACGAGGCCACGGGAATCTGCGCCAGGGCCAAGGCTGTCATAGCCAAGGCTGGGAGCGCCTCTGCACGAGCGTGACTCAGTTGGGCTCGCGAAGCTTTCCTGTCTGGTGCTTCCCAGGCGCACAAGTTTTCCAAGGTCAGAGCGGTTCAAGAGATTCTCTCAGCGGGTGCCCCCGCGGCTCCGCTCTCGTTGGCTGATGATGCGCTTCGGCCCTGGGCCCAAGTTTGGACCACTCACGAGGCCGCGCATCCCCCTCTTCCCGAGGAGTTGGCATGCTGGCCCGAGCTCCCCACAATCACCGCGAGTCAGGTGCAAGATGTGGTGCGCTCGAATCATGCTCGCACAGCGATAGGGCCCATTGCCCTCCATTCCAGAGCGTTGGTTCACTTGTCAGCTGCCGCCTTTGAATCGCTGGCGGACCTCTTTCAGGTATGTGAGCGATATGGGGGGGGGGGGGGGGGCTGAGGGGAGGGCGGTCAACGACATGGTAGGGCTGGCCAAGCCAGATGGAGGCACGCGCCTCATTGTGCTGGTCAGCAGAACGTGCAGGATCTGGAGTAAGGTCAGGAAGCCTCTTACGTTCGAGTGGCAGGAGCGACGCAGGTGCGCGGAGATCAGGGGCACCCGGAGGCTCCACAGCTCGTCCGACAGCGCATCTGCGCACAACCTGTCTGCCGAAACCGCTGGGCTGATTGGCGGCGCGTCTTGGCCCGCGAAGCTCGACGTGGCCCAATGTTTCGAGATGCGTTCATCGGAGCGGCTGCTCCAAGAGGCGAGGGCCCCAGATGGTACCATGCGTGTAGCTTGGATGCTCGTGGCTTTGCGCAGACCGCCGCGGCGTCTCCATGCGTTGGGGTCGCCGAGTCGCACTGGCGTGGCGCATCGAGGCATTCTGGCTGGATGCAGTCATGCCACTGGCATGCGGTTCCTTCTCGCGCTGCGCGCTGCCAACATACTCAACAGCACTACTCCGCAGGTCCCTCCCCGTGCGCTCGTGGGCGATGTGTCCCTGCAGCCAGTTTCGTCGCCCACGCTGGACAACTCCCCCAGCTGGAGCGCGCTGTCGAGAGTTGCGCGGCGGACGCGTTCGACCTAGGCCTCCGGGCCCAACTCAAGAAGTCTGGCCTCGTTGCTGACTTTGGCGCGGGACGAAGGCGCACTGCCAAGATCGCGTCTCGCAGTGCCCTGCCTGCGCGCTGGTGGATGAGGGACCTTGGGCACGAGATGGCGGGTGGCATGGTCCTTCGTACGCAGGAGAAGAAGCGGATGCAGGCGCTGAAGGACAGGAGAAGGAAACTTGTCGCTCTCAAGTCTGCCGTGGGACGACGCGCGGCAGCCATCTGGCGCACTGGCGCTCTCCCAGCTGCAGGGCATGGAGGAGCTGTTTCAGGAGTCTCTGACACGGCCCTGAGGTACTTGCGTCACATGGCCGCCGCGTTGGTTGGTGGCAAAAAGAACGGGGGTGTCACTGGGTACCTCATCATGCATGCTGCGCCCCTGCACGACCCGAATTACGACTGTATGTTGGGGGTAGTGGTCAAGTATTCTACGTTCGCGTTGGATGGCAGGGTCGAGTTGAGCAGGGCCCAGCGGGCCTGGTTGAATCTGCGTGACGTCATGATGGGTAATCCAACATGGCAACAGGCCCGATGGCCAATGTCAGCGGTTTGGCTGTCTCTATTGCGAATTGGATGGACGATGGTGAATGCGCACTCCCTGCACACCGACACTGGCACCTCCCTCTCCCTGCTGGTCACGCCTCCGAACGACATCAGGCTGGCACTCATCGAGGGCATCCAGAGGTGGCAGCACAAGCACCTCCCCGGGCACATGCGTACCTCCGTCGGCGCGGGCGTTGTGTGGCACAGAGCACTGCGCCGTGGGATCAAGGGGTGAGATGTCCGAAGCAGATGGGGGCCTTGTCTGCGGTGTGGGCCAACGGAGCCCCCTACCCGCTGCTCTTGCTGGCCTTGAATATGATGCACGTGCTGATTGCCTGGTTTGCTCCCACCCCGAGGGCACGTATGGACATGTGTGGTACCGCTGTCCCAAGTTCATTTCTGGTGAAGGGTTGGACCCCATGGGCGAGGACATCCCATGGAGGCTGAGTGAGCACAGGGCTGCACTAATTAATGTTAGCCTATGTGTGTGCGGGGAGCCCCAGGTTGACAGCACGTACCTGACCTTTGGGCTCCCAGCGTTGTCTGTTTCCCCCCAGGCCCCCGAGAACCGTCCAGCTGTGTTGAGCTGTGGCGATGTCTCTGGTCCTTGGAGACCCGACTACTATTAGATGGAAGTTGCTTGCATAGCTCGATCCCCGCAAAGGCGAGAGCTGGGTGGGCTGTCCCGCAATTGTGTCCCGCCCTGCTTCCCATTAGAGCCCTCTACGGAGCCCTTCCTGGCCCCCGTCAAACCATCGGTTGAGTCGAAAGATGGGCTGTTCTCCGTGCCCTGGTGGACTGTCCTCACCACGTCTCGCTCTGCTCTGATCAGCAGGCTGTCGTGCGGGAAAGCAATTCGTGGGGTCCCGAGCTCGCGCTTGGTACGGCCAAGCACGCAGGGATATTGAGGAAGGTGTTCTCGGTCCCCGGCGTGTTGCAGCCCCACTTGAAATGGTGCCCCGCCCACCTGAGTTTTGATGAGGCCGCTGAGCGGGGTTTATGTTTGCGTGTGTGGGCGGGGAGCATGTGGGCCGATTCGTGTCGCAACAACCGGAGCCTCTCAGCATTCGGTGGCCGATGTGTTTGCGAGGGCGGTTGCTGGAGAGCTCAGATATCATCCGTCAACGTCGCAGTTTCTCGCGTGGGCTGCCCAGCAGCTGCTCGAGGCGCAAAGGTGGACGGCGTCGGACCCCGACTTCGCTCCCTGCCGCTTTGCACCCTCTCTGTCCCCCCTCCGCTGGCCGTCACCACCCACAATATCTGGTTCTCCCCTGTCCGCTCCGAGTGGAGGTGCAGAGATTGCGGGCGTTTCGCCCTTAACCTCACTTCGCTCAGGGCCCTGCTGTGCCATAAAGACACTCGCCAGTGCCTCCCCTCTCCGATCCAGCGGCACGTGCGACCGTTAGTTTCGATCGTTCGTGAGTCGTTCTCGCTCGTTCGGTCGGAGGCGGTGAGGGCTGCTCTTGAAGCCGCGGCCGAAGGTCGGCTGATCTCGTTCGTTCGGTCGAAGGCCGAGGGAGAGGTCGAGGCCAGGCTGGCTGCAGAGGTTGGTGGCACGGCCACCCGGCGGCTCGCCTGCGCCCGTCTCCCCTCGCGTGCGCGATCCATTCCAGTCTCTCCGGCACGCTGTCCTTGCGATCGGCACTGCGTATTGCTGTAAGCGCTGTGCGGCCCACGGCACGCTCGACAGCGTGCGCCTGCCTCGTGAAGTGTGCGCAGGGGCCCTTCCGTTGTGCCTGGCACCCTGGCGAAATGGAGACTGAGGGGCAGGCGCGCTGAGCGGGGTCGGCATCCTCGCACGGGGGCAGCTACTGTTGAGGCCGAGCTGCGGGTGGGCGAAGGTAGTCGCGCGGCCGCCTCGGCTCCCTCCGCCCCTCTTGGTTGCTCCCCCCTGGTCAGTTTGGCCCATCCGTGTGCGAGGGTGCGAAGGTCCCTCGCACTATCCCCTCGAGGGGGCTCTCGGACGATTATGATTCCCTACCTAGGCTCTGCCCAGAAGGGTTCTTACTCTCCGGGCTTAAAGGGGCCGGGCAATGGAAAGCGCCCCGGGCGGTTCCCCCAATATCCGCCCCGCGGTTCCCCCAGTTACGTCCCCTTAGCTTAGCGTCGCTTATCTCATCTTAGCTCAGCTTATGTCATCTTAGCTTAGCTTAGCTTCATCGTAGCTCAGGTTTCTCTTAGCTTAGCTTACCTTCATCTTAGCTCCGCTGAGTTTTAGCATAGCAGAGCACAGCATAGCAGAGCACAGCATAGCATAGCATAGCGTAGCATGGCATAGCGCAACACAGCATTTCATAGCATAGCCAAGCATAGCATAGCATAGCGAAGCATAGCATAGCATAGCTCAGCATAGCATAGCACAGCGCAGCATGCTATGACATAGCCTAGCATAGCATAGCATAGCATAGCATAGCGCAGCATAGCATGGCATAGCATAGCATAGCATAGCAACTAATGCTGCTTTCCTAAGGGCTCCAACTTCTAGGTAGGGTCGCACTGGGGTAATTGATTGTTTTGCCCCGCCCCGTCCCCGCCCGTCGCCTGTCGCCCGTCGTCCCCCCTTCCGCTGCATACCTCCATTACGGCGTGGAGCGGTCTGACGGCATCCAGGCGCGAGGACTGTGGCTCGGGAGCGGGAGCCTTGCCCGCCGTCGGTCGTCGATCGTCGGCTGGCCTGACTGAACTGGACCCCTGCTCGGGCTTCGTGCCCTTGCAGGGGGCGTCAACTGGACCCCTGCTCGGGCTTCGTGCCCTTGCAGGGGGCGTCATGGTCTGTGCATCCCGCCTGTTTCTCCCCTCCTCCGCCTCCTCCTCCTCCGCTCCTCTTCCTTATAAATAAGAGTTCTCTGTCGCACCCCGAGGCCGGTTTTTTTTCGGGCGGGCCAGACATTTCGCCTGAGACTTCCTCACCACTTATGATTCTGAAGCTGAAAAATGGCAACAACTTGACAGGTGGAGGACGGGTGGTTTTCAACATGTGGCTCTCGCCGTAGCGCCGCGCACATTCGTTTGGAAAATGCAATGAGTTTCAATTATTAAGGGCGACCTGTTTTCAAACTGTGGCTCTCGCCTTAGCGCCGCGCGCAAGCGTTTCAACTGAAACAATTACCAGAAGAACTTCACGGATTGAGGGCGGTTCCTTTTCAAAATGTGGCTCTCGCCTTAGCGCCGCGTATATTCCGTTATACGGATTGCAAGAGTCTCGCAGTTCCCCATGAACAGCGAACCAGAAATTGCGTTGTGGAAGGGTTCCAGATTTTGCGGGTGCAGCATGTACGTTGGCTCGATGTGCCTAAGTCCCAAGAATGGCGTGCTCGCACGATTCAGGATCGTCAAGGCGCAACAGATCCGTGGCGCTGGAATCCAGAGAACAATGTTTTCCCGCAAGGGTCAGGGTCTTCAGGGTCTTCAGTCCCCGCAATGGACATGAACCGTTGCAGGGGTCTATGAAGAGGGAGCTTGGAGGGAGGGTGTCTTCCGACATCGTTGATGGCTCTTGGGTTTACACTGGTCCTCCTCCTCCTCCTCCTCCTCCTCCGTGCGGTGGCCTCGAGACCCCGAAGGGCCTCACCACACGGTCAGTCACCGCGCGGCTTTGGGACCCTGGCTGCCCAAGCCACCCGAAGCATCATCGGTGGACGAACCAAACCCTGACACTGTGCGGTCGCCCCAGATGCCCACCGATCGGAGGAGAGCCACTCGAAACAGCGGCGCCTCTCCCGCCGGGCCCAGATCCGCTCGAAACCATGCCCCAAATGCCTTCGACGGTCCATCCTGCTTCGATGTTCACAGCGGATCCAGCCGTGGCGACGAGAAAGCTCCAGGATGGTTTACAACATTCGCACGCATGCACGCACGCACGTACACACACAGACACAGACACACACACACACACACAGACACAGACACAGACACAGACACGGACACAAACACACACACAGAGAGACACACACACACACACAAACACACACACACACACACACACACACACACCCAACGCTCCTCCCGACCACGCTTGGTGTATATGATCCGCTGGTGCGTCGTCGTCGGATCACAACGGGAAATGAAAGGTCGCAGAAAAAAAGGTCGGCCGGGAGGGCCACCGTCGCCTCGACTGGCCTCCTACGAGCGGTGATGCCACCGCACGCTCGCAGGCCGCTGCTCTTCATCGGCATGGGCGTCGGCGGCGATAGGCGATCGACGCTTCGGCGTTGCCGTCGTCGTCGTCGCCGCCGCCGCCGCCGCCGCCGTCGCAGCCGCCCCCGACGCCGCCGTCGATTGGCGATCGACGCTTCGTCGTCGTCGTGGCCTCCGTGGCCTCCGCAGCCGCGGTCCCCCTGGCGGGGCGCAGGGCGCCCGTGGCAGCCATCGCGGCGAGGAGGATGGCGCCCTGGGAGAAGCCGAGCAGCCCGTCGAAGGGCCCGCGGTCCCGCCAGGCCTGCCTCACGTGCGCCAGCGTCTCCTCTCGGCCGCTGCGGCAGGCCAGGGAGCCCACAGAGGCCACATGCATGAACACGGCCTCCCAGTCCGCGATGCCAGCCGCGTGATACGAGGGTTCGCGCAATGCGTACTCTCGAAGCCAACGTGAAATCATGCGTGCACGTCATTCGTTACGCTCCTGAGAAGGCCCACGCCGCATATCTGGGACCAAAGGCCTTCCAAATGGGTCGGACGGGGCAGGTGGGGTCGGAGGATCGCGCCGCATCGCCGATGAATCGGCCACGATGGCGTGGAGAAGCTCGGGCTCCACATCGAGCCACATCGCCGATGCATGGGCAATGCGCCGCGATCCGTCGACCCCATCTACTCGCACTAAACTCGGGAGGCCTAGACACACTTCTTCGCGCCGTGAAAGAATCACGACGGAAGGTTTTTGGTCGTGTTCGGCTTCTGGGGGCCCGCACCGGTCCCTGGCCGGGACCGTCCAAACTGACTCGGGATGAAAAGCCGGTCCGGGAGAAGGGTTCGAGACCTCTGAGAGAACGCGTTTCACGGGCGCTCGCCTTGGGAACATTCGGCCGCGCGTTTCGAAACGGGGTGTAAGCCCACCCTCCCCAACACTCGGCTCCGTCGATCAAAACCAAGGGGACTCCCCTCCTCCCCAAGCCCCAAAAGGGGGGGGGTGAAACCTCCCCACCCCACCCCTAGCGCGCGGGGGCGGGGGGTTGAACCCCCCCCCCGTGGCGTCGGCGCCGGCGCTGGCGGCGGCCAGCAGCGCCGGCCCTGGCGCCAGCGACGGCGGGGACGCGCAGCGACGATTACCACTACTACCACCACCACCACCACTACAACCACCACCACCACCGCCTCAACCCACCACCACCGCCACCAACAACCCATCACACAACCACCACCACCACAACAGCCACCACCACCACCACAACCACCACCACCACCACCACAACTCACCATCACAACCACCACCACCACCACCACGAAAACCCACCACCGCTACCACCACTACCACTACTACCACACCACCACCACCACGACCGCCACAACCACCACCACTACCAGTAGCACAACCCACCGCCACCACCACAAACCACAACACCACCACAACCACCACCACCTCCACCGGCACCACCACCACCACCACCAGCACCACCTCCACAAACCACCGCTACCACCACAACCCACCACCAACACCACCACCACCGCAAACCACCTCCACACCACCACCAAACCACCACCACCACCACCGCCCGACCACCACCCACAACCACAACCGCAACCACCACAACAAACCACAACACCACCACCACCACAACCACCACCACCGCCACTACCACCACAACCCACCACCACCACCACCGCCACCACCACCGTCGTCCTCATCGACGCTCCCCGTCGCCGCCGCCCGCCACCGCAGGCGCCGGCGCTGGCCCAGAAAAGGAAATCGTCGTCCCCGCCGCCGCCGCCAGCCGCCGCCGACGCAAGCGCCGACCCGAGGAGAGGGGAAGCAGGGGAGGGGAATGGGGGGGGGAGGGGGGGGTGTCCGGTTCCAAACCCCACCCCACCCCTCCAAGCGACCACAGAAAACGCTCTTTCAGACCTCTGGGGGTCGACGTCGTGGACAAATCACGACGTCGGGGGCCTGTCTGGGAGGACGCGCAACCCAAGGGCAGGGAGCACTACATGCAGGGGCGGCAAGTCGAAATCGCAAGAGAGAAGGGGGGGGGAGGGTATGTCTTCCCAGAGGGCGGCGGGGTTTCTGGGAAGCAGTCCGGCCTTCCAAAGAGCCCGCCTGTGGGCTTGGGCCCGGGACGGCCTGCTGAGCCTGCGGAGCAGGCTCTGGGTGGGCCCAGATGCTTGACGGCGGCACGGCGGGGAGCACGAGGGTTGGGGGGGGGGCCTCCAGGGCCCTCCTCCTCCTCCTCCTCCTCCTCCTCCTCCTCCTCCTCCTCCTTCCAGCTCCATAGGTTTCCCGTCTTCCTCCATCGCCTCCCTTCCCCCCCCTCCCTGTTTCCTCATCGCCATTCCTCCTCCCTCCACCCCTCCTTCCCTCCTCCACCTCCAGGTCTGGCCGAAAACGGCGCGTTGTCCTGCCAAACGCCTCCCCCCCCCCAGTGTCTCCAGCATGATCGCAGCCGTCAGATGCCCAGACCCCCTTGGTCATGAACACGTCACGACGGATGGTTCGCTGCCAACATCATCCTCTGGGGGCCGTCGCCAGGCCCCAGGACCGTCAAGAAGCGGCTCGGCATGAAAGGCTAGTCCTGGGGAATGGGTCTAGACCTCTGGGGGTCCTCGCTGTGAAAGAAGCATGCCGTCGGGGGTCTGGGTATCTTGGCCCGCGCCCTTCCTGTACCCAAGGCATCGGATCGCACATGACACATGGGGCGACGATCGCAACCGGGCCTTGCGCGAGATGACGTATAGCGACGTTACGCCGCGGCTCACGTGGGCCGCCAGCGAGAGACGCTGCATTGGAAGCGAGGGCGCCTACGCAACACCCTTGCGCGAACAGCTTACGCGCCATTGTCGGCGCAGGCGACCCCAGTTGTTCGGCGTCGCTTGCATGACTTCGACGAGGCTCCCACTTCGCGGAGCCGCGCAGCTTGCCCACTCCTTGGGCTGTCCGCCCATCTTGCTCTTGCCGGTCCCCTCCCATCCCTCGAAAGGGGGGGGGAAGAGGAGCGCTCGCCAGGAGGTTTGCTCCCGCCGATCTCCTCCCACCCCTCGAAGCGGGGGGTGGTGAAGGAGCGCTCGCCGGGCGGCAGGTTCCACCACGCGAAGCCGTCGCCGAGAGGACGCCCGGGCAGTGCCAAAGGGTGGGCCGCCACTGGGAGGGCCACCGTCGGCCCTTCGAGGGCATGGGCCCGCCAGAGCCCCCCCCTGAAACCCTAATCCTCGCTCCTCGATCATCGATCCTCGTAGCGATTCTCGCAGCGATCCTCGATCCTCGACCCTCGATCCTCGCACCACCACCAGCCCTGGCCAGGCCCATCGTGGGCCCTGGACTGGTGCACAGGCCTTCCTGGCCTAGGCACGCTGATCTAGGGCCCAGGGAGTGCCTGGCCAGGGCTGGTGGTGGTGTACAGTTTGCGTTTCTCCCGATCCCCCCCCCCCCAACCCTCGATCTCCCTGCTGTCGGGGCATCAGAATGGCGGGACCTGGTCTAACATTTAAGCGAGCCCCCGCAGCAATTTTTTTTCGAAAAACAGACCGACAAAATTCGTGCCAGGACGGTCAAGACACAGCGGCAAACTCGAGCCAGACCTTTCCCCGACACTGGCGGGCGACCGTGCGCCCTGCTCTAATTTGTTCGGTGCATGGGCCCCCTGATGTCTGGACAACATCCCTGCCGGCTTGGCATCCTGGGTCTTCGTTTTTTTGTGTTATCGTCCTGGGGCCCGTTGAGGGCCCCCAATAGCCGCGAATGGCCAAACCAGCCGCTCCCATGAGCTTCGGATTTCTGGGTGCCCACCCACCGAAGTCAGCTCCAAACCTGTGGCCTCTTTGGCTGTAATGCTGGCCTCTTGGGGCCCTCGTGGGCCGTGTTCGGGCGATCTTGGGGGCCCCTGGGGCCGTCTTGTAGCACCGAACGCCCGAAAGGGCGAGGACGCTAAAATCATTCCGACACCTACCGTCAAATCAATGACCTGGGCATCCTGGAGGTCCTCGTCGGCCCCTTCTTGGGGCGTCTTGGAGGCCTCTTGGCAGGACTGAGCTGGATCGAGTTGCGAAATCAGATCGGATCGGGAAAAGATCGCATCGAATCGAAATCGGATCGCCGAGCCCGGCTCCCGTCGACCCCAGCCGATGCCAATGAACCGAGCAGAACCGAATCGAATCGGAATCGCGGCCCTAGCCAGCGAATCGAATCGGATCGCAGGCGGCTCTGCTTTGATGGGCCCATGGCCCACCAACACTTACCATAGGTAGGAGAGGGAGAGGGAGAGGGAGAGGGAGGAGGAGGAGGAGGAGGAGGAGGAGGAGGAGGAGGAGGAGGAGGAGGAGAAGGAGGAGGAGGGAGGAGGGAGGAGGAGGAGGAGGACGTCATCCTCCCTTCTCCCACTTCCCAGATGTGGCAGTGGCCGTGGAGAATCTGCCCGTCGTGCCTGGGCCTTCCTCAGGGCAGCCTCGGCCGTCGCGGGGGGCCTCTTGGCAGCCTCGGGGGCGTCTCGGGACCCTCCCCGGGGCTCGTCCTGGCCCTGGGGCGCCCGGGCTGCGCACGCCAGCCCTATTATGAGCACGGGGGGCGCCGGCCCCCCGCCCCGCCCGGGCTCGAGCGGGGGCCGGCCGGCCCGGCATGCCCAGGGTGAGGCCTGCCACGGCAGGCTCTGCAGGGGCCCAGGGGTTCACAAAGAGCTACACACAGATCCCAGGGGTCCCCATCATCAGATTGTGCCCACAGGTGCTGGACTTGTGTTCCCCCCACACACTTCCCATAGTTTCCCACCTTCTCCTGGGAGTCGACGATGAGTTGTGTCTGTGTGTGTGTTATGTTTCCCCTCCGGATGTTCTTCGAACCGAAAACCCGAAGAACAACAAATATGCTCTAGGAACGTAGGCCTCTAAATGAAACGACGCAGTCTCGGCCAGCAATGCTCTCAGAACATGTCGTGCACCACAGAAATTGTTCTTAGAAGACTCTTCGGTAGGCCTACGTATAAGCAAGCCAAGACGCTTCGCCACTGTTCGACGAACAAGACCCGGACCTTCCAAACTCCGTTCCTCGAATCTCGACCCTCGATCCTACAGGGAAACGTGGAAGCTGGAACTGCGGCGGAGGGCGGAAGTGGCAAGGGCTGGACAAGAAGCTGGAGGGAACGCCCGACCCGAGCAGGGCTGGAAAAAAAAGGAGCAGGGGCTCTGAGACGAGCCCGCAGCAGCTGGGACGAGGTCACGGGGTCTGGACAAACG